TGAGTATCAGTCACCTGTGAACCATAGCCATGTGATGTGAGTATCAGTCACCTGTGAACCATAGCCATGTGAGTGTCAGTCACATGGAGGCAGGGCTTAAAAGCCTGAATTTAGCCTGAAACTCTCAGACTGAAGAAGTCTCTTGGAGGAGAGACGAAACGTTTCATTAAAGAAGAACCCGTCCAGAAGACCTATACTATGTTTTTCTTTTTGCATTTTTACCTGGATTACTGAGATGCATCAGGACATTTGTTCAACATCCTTTCACACAAATCCCAGTTTTGGTAAGGTGTTGTTGGCATTTAACCAGTCATACATGTTCAAACACTTTTAATGTAAGTTTTTWAAAAGGGTACCACTTTACAATTAGGCTCCCCTTATAGATGACTTTTAAAGAGTTTATAGATAGGTTACTAATTAATCTGTAAACACTTTATAAGTTATTAATAAGTGTTTATTATCCATTAATTAAGGTAAAAAAGAAACTAAACTGTCTGGTTTCTTTCCAAATACTGAGCCAAATCTGTTTGTGTATTAAACATTTCAGATTAGTTTACTACCTTGTAACACAAAAATGATTAGAAAACAAATATTTTAACATATAATATTGTACTGTATTACTGCATTATAAATATTCACAAATATTAAAGGGATCTTATTGTAAAGTGTAAAACTGTACACTATTTTGGATGGGGTGAGATTATATGTTAACATGATGTTTTTTTACTTTTTGATACATCATCAAAGTTGACAGTAGTTACATGTTTGAACAATAATTTCAAATATTGGTAATCAACACAAAGTTTAAAAAAATAATGTTAAATACTAACTTTTGGCATTTATAAATGTTTATTTGTCATTAATAAACAGTGCACTGTATTACACTTTACAATAAGTCTCCCTTTGACAGTTGTGGATATATAATACAGTAATACAGTACAATATCAATATGTTAAAAGATGTGTTTATCGTTATTGTGCTAACAATGTAGTAACCTAGTCTGAAATGTTTAATACACCTTTAGATGTAATATGTACGTGAACAGATTTGTCTCAGTATTTGGTACCTGGAGACCTGACCCTGAAAACGGACGGACGGATAAACCATCAAACTTAGGGGCACAGAAAACTTAAATACCAATAACTTTGCTATAAACTAACCAAATTTTAAAAACAARGTATCAGCAGATTCGTATTGATTAGTTCTTCGATATACATGACATTTCATTAAACAAATATGTAAACAATGAGAGAGCAACAGTAAGACCCAACTTTTTTTCTGTCAACATGCTCCTTTTGAAAGAGTGGACCCTAGGGTACGTGGAAATACCTCCACCCTAACCCACAGACTAACAATGAAAAATTGCATCTTCTGTTGGCGTTGTGGCCTTTTGACCCCCTGATGACATCATCGAGCGCGTATTTGTTTAATAAAATCATTTCATTAAAAAAACTCCATCCTTATTTTCCTCAAGAACAACCCAGCTCCTCTGTTATACAGGTCCTCTAGTTTCCATTTCAACAAGTCCTTTTCTATCACGACCATGAAGCTAACGCTGAAAGTCCAGTCTGTTCTGTATTTTTGTTATAAGTTTTAATTTTATGTAACTCTGAAAATGTCCGCTCAGCATTTAGCTTGTAAGACGCTACATAAAACTAGTTTCCCAGTTCTGACTCCTGCTCTCTGATCAGCCAATCAAACGATGAGAAAATGTTGACGCTGTCTGAGGCCAGCTAGGTGTCTCTGGTATGGGATAAATCTTGTGCCAGCAGGAACTGAGTTTGAATTGTTCAGATTGAATCTGAATGTGCAGAATTTAAAATTGAATGAATTGGTTTGAAAATAAATTACACTAAATTTAAACTGAATGTAAAGTTTTGAATTTTAATTCATTTGCTTTGAAACTTTATTTTGGTCTATTAAAATTTCAGTTTGACTACTTTCACTGCAATAAAATAACTTTGTGTGTTTTTGTCACTTTTACAGTGGATTGCATCAACTCTGTTACATCCAGAAGTGAAACTTCACCAAAGTGAAACATAAAT